GCTGGCTTGCTGGCTTGCTGGCTTGCTGGCTTGCTGGCTTGCTGGCTTGCTTGCTTGCTGGCTTGCTTGCTTGCTTGCTTGCTTGCTTTTGTTTTTTCCCCTTTCTTCAGACCGTTTTTTCCTTCCCTGTTGTCCTCCTTTCCTTCCTTTCTAGTCCCTTCGTGATCATGCCGCTTATCTTTGCACCCTTTCTTTGCAGGACCAGCTTGTTTTGAGTCAACATCTGTCCTCATCCAGGCCGTTCCCCTGCGCAGATTTGATGTTTCCCCACTGGTTTTGAGTTTCTTGCTCTGTGAGCGGCTGTGCGGCTTCTGTAGGATAAACACCTGGTGCGAGCCAGTCAGTGCCTACCAGAACAGACCAGCAAAAGGAAGCCCTCTTCGCCCCATCGCCCAGCCGAGCCATGCCCATCAACCCCGGCCTCGCCCACCACGAAGTTTGACCGTTTCACTCGCCTAAATTTGTGGTTGCACCTTGACACGTTCCCCTGGCCTTGAAAGGGGCCCAGATGTTTCAAGTGCCTTCAACTCAAGGGGAGTTGACAACAGTCTTGTTGAAAGGTTGACAGCACTTGAACACAGGATGGCAGAAAACATGGCTCTTTGCAAATTAGGACTTGAAGAGAATCCATATTCGGCCTCAGCTGAAGAGCTTGACACATTCAGAGCGCCTTTGGAACAGACAAGCAGGAAAAAATTCCTAATGCTTGTACAGTATATGTGCAAAATTGCAGTTCACACATGCAGGCACAATGCATGTGCAGCTCATGGCGCATTGCAAATTGCAATTCCACGATTTTTTTTGTTTCTGTGACCACTGACCACTAATGAGTCAAGCTGCCACTGGTAAGGAAAGCATGAAGAAGATACAGAATCCGACTGCCAAGCACATTCTCGTTGCAGATTTGGGTGGAGGAACCTTTGATGTGTGCATTGTCCGCCAATGGGTCGAGTGGGACGAGATCCACATTCAGTTCACAAGTGGTGACGAACGCCTTGGCGGGAACGATTTTGACAACGCGTTGACCACTTGGTGCCTCAAGCAAATGATGCTACAATGCAAAATATGATAAAATATGTTTGCGAGTTGCACTTGATTTGCTTTGCTTAATATATATATATAGAGGGTTGAAGATTGAAAGAAAGAATGCTGAAGCTAGACTCCTGCATCTACTTTTTTCTCAGGTAGGAAGTGAAATGCAAATAGGAGTGCAACAGCTATAGCCCCACCGAGATGGTGTGCTTTTCATTTGCCTAAGCCGAACTTTCTCGAGGAAACCTGAAATGCAACGTTTGAAGAAGTGGCCGCTGTCAAGGGAGAGCCAGGATGAGCTTAGGATCCTAGCAAAGAAGGTGGGAGCCTTCGCCAAGGGATAGGAGGGGCTCGATGCTAGCTGCAGCTGACAATTGATTATATGTTGTCAGTATGAATGAATGTGAATTATGAATGAGTATGAATATGATCTACTAAGCTTTGGGTTTGCACAGCTGCGCATGATGCCACCACGCAGGTGCATGGTGTGTTATGGCTTGCTAATGTGTTGCACAGCTCACTGCCGGTGTGAGGCCAAAGAGAGACTGAGCAGTTCAGACTCTGCCGAGATCTTGTTTGGCCCCTTCAAGGCCAAGCAGTGTGCTTCATCACAGCGGCTCGCATGCGCACTGTAGGTGCAAATTTTATCATGAATTGTCAAGGCTGAGCAAGGACGCTACTAGGGGCTCCTGGCCTTACTACTAGGAACAAGAAGCTACTAGGGGCTCCCGGCCGTCCTACTAGGAACAATGTTTGAACGTTCATGAGTTTCAAGTGTTTTGGTAGGCAACGGTTACTCGGGACAACTTCCGAGTGATTTGCCTGGATGTACTGAAGCGTCTATTGGTGCCAATCCGTGAAGCTGCCTATGGCTCACACCTGCGGTTGCCATTTGAGTCTCTAGCAGAAGAGGCCCTTGACGTAGCAGAAAGGAGTACCAAGAGAAAGAAGAGGTGGGGTTAGCAAGCAGTGGCTTTCAAGGGAATGTTGCTGCATTATTTTGCCATAGTCCATCGCTTTGATGGCCATGTCTGAATGTTTGGATACTCATGGAAAGGCGCATGACAGAAAGAGATCTCCGCACCAGAAGCAAGCAACTTCGGTCAAAGCACCAGAAGGGCGATGTGGAGGCGGCCTTGGGACCGGATGGTTTTGCGAAGACTGCCAGCCTTGCAGAGGTATTCATTGTTTTTGTTCAATTGTCATTCCTTCACAAAGGACAAGCTAGTAGCGACCTTGCTCCTAGTAGCGATGCCCCTTTGTTCCTCCTAGTAGTAAGGCCAGGAGCCCCTAGTAGCGTCCTTGCTCCTAGTAAAGGGTATAGGGATTGGTTCAGTTGCGATGCAGCCACTTTAGAGGTTCATAGTGCGCAGTGAAGGTGTTCAATGCATGGTGATTTGTGGGCTGTCGAGCATGAAAACGCTGGAAGAACCTTGATAGACTGGGGTTTGAGGGATTAGGAACTTGGAATGATTGAATTCACTAGCTGCTTGCCTTATCGTCACTTATTTGCCTATGCCATTTGGAAAGTTACACGTTTTCCAGATTTAACGCTACAGGAAACACGCCTTCTACCATATCCTCGATGAACACATTGTCATTTCTCACGTCATGTTCACAGGATGACGACGAAATAATGATCGACGAAATCCTGCTGATCGGTGCCGCCACCTGGAAGCTTGGGCTGATGATTGAGCTACTGCAGGTGCAAGTGGCCTCGAAGCACCAAATGCACTGATGCTGATGATACAATTGAAACGCGCAATGCTGCACTGCACGAAATGAAGCTAAAACTCAACAAATCACAGAAGTCCTGGCATTGAGCCACATTGCCCAAGGAATCCTGCAGTCCGCGAGATCCTGGCATTGGTGACAGGTGTGACGCCAAGCAGTGCTAGCATTGATCCAGAAACTTCTGTGGCGCTGGGAGCAGCCATTTTGGCTTCCATCATGGATCAGCAGATGACAGACATGCAGGCCCGTGAAACACGTGCACCTTATATACTGGTTGGCTAAGTCCTTTGCGGAAAAGGGTTCTAAACCCTGCATTTTTGGGCGACGGCCGTAGAGTTGGCTTTTTGCGCAGCTGTTGTCTTGCAGATTGCAGAGTGGGACTTGACTTTTGAGACCAATTGAATTGTCTCGTATATGAGTCGTATAATAGCTAGTAGTAACAAGTGCATCGCTACTAATAACAAGTGCCTTACTAGTAGTAACAAGAAGCTATTAGAAAAAACCATCATTTGGACAAGTAAGCAGGGGGAACACTGATACGCAGCTCCAAAAGAGCTCAGCACAGGTGCATTCACCCTGGCGAAGCGCTTGGGTCGAGTACCTCATGAAGAAGCCTTCTCTTCTTAAGAAGTTCGAGGAGGACACAGCTAGGAAGCTGCAATGGTTTGTAGAAGCTCAACTGCCTGTTGCATTGTTGCAGGGGACAATTAAGCACGTGGTTTCTATTTGCTTTCTGGCACGCAAGAGCTTTTTCTGACAATATGTTTTCTAAGCTGCTGAACGTACAGCATAGAAGAGTGTTCAAAGTCCATTGCCGTGGTGTTGAATTCTTCCATATCACCGATCACTCACATATGAGTTCTTGAACTCTTGATCCTTAGCCTTCGATTCGCCTGTTAATCAAGCGGCCAGCTTTTGCTTTTTTTTGGAATCCTTGCCTCATATTCCTTTTGTACTCGTAGTTTTCCGGTTCTCCTTCCTTCTTATTGCCTTTGCTTTTCCTATATAAGTCTTTTTCTTTTGCATGTTTTTTTGTTTGCAGTGGGCCATCTCTAACTACCAGACTCAAAAACATTGTTTACTAGTTTACTATTGTTGTCATGTTCGTGACTTCTGATATGCTCAGGGCTTCGTGTGTGTGCTAACTGCCAGCTATGCAGAAGGTCGTGAGCTGATTACTGCGCTGTTCAGTTCAGTTCTGAATGACTCTAATTTGGGGGTGTCCTATTACATGTAACAGTCGCTCAACAATTATCTTATTATTTATATATATATATCACTATTTTAGAGGAAGGCCGGCCTTTGCTAACCATCATCATCCACTGTTACAGGGAATAGGATACACCCGAACTCTAAATATGTTTATGACTCTTTCAGTGCGTTTGCCTTTGCTTGTTGAAGGTGCAGGCAGCAACATGCACGTGCGCTGGTGCAAACACACACACACAAAATACGCACACACTTAGATAAGAGGCTTTGCGTATTCCGTGATTTGGTTCATAGCCGTTCAAATTATTGCGAAGCATTTTCTGCCCGCACTCCCCCACATGTAGTAAATGGACACGCTCTCAGATCTAGCATCCTACTGTGAAAGCTGGTTTGTTTTTTCAATACCAATCCAGCATCTTACCAAGAAAGCTGCGTGAACTTTCAGACTTCTATATATTGTATATATAGGTTAGCGTTTGTTGGCTGCTTGAAAGAAGTAAGTCCTCGTGAACCCTTCACGCACTTTGTTCACACGCACAAACTCACACACACACAGTTCCAGCAAATTGCATAGCCAGATGGCGAGGAGCAGCAGTCCAAGATGGGCGCTGGTTGATTGCGAAAACAGGCCGAGCTGACTCTTTGGGTTTGTGCAGGACAAGGCAACTGTGCCAGTTCAATTTCATTTATTTGGCAAACTACTTACAGATTGCTTCGTGGTAGACATATAAGTAGACAAAACATGTGATTGCATGCCCCCAGGCTATGCAAGCGGTGTCAGCGCTTACTTCACATATTCCTTCCTCTTCCGTAGTCTTCTTTAACCAGTTGTTAAACCATGAATCAAATTAGATCCAACGCTCATCCGAGAGTTGTGGCTCAATGCACGAACTGACAGACTGTGAGTGAAGGCTCCCTGTGTGATGTCACAGATTGTCGGCACTGTCATCTTCACCACAGACAGATCAAATGTCCCTTCCTGTATGGGTGCTTTGCTCCTTGCTGGGTCGTGTGTACAACCCTTGCTATCAGGCGTTTTCGCACACAGGTTACATTGGAGAACGCAAAGGACAGGAAAGCCCTGCAGCGGCGACACCCATTGCTCTTTAGAAGGACGCTTGAAATGTCACAGTACCAGTGAATGCCCTGAAGACGAAGGTAGCTCATTGCGCTTCTGGGTGGCTATGAGACATGTGTCATTCACAAGCCAGCAAAAGAATGCAAAGGTTGTGGACAGCTTGCTCCAGAAGAATATCATGTCAAGCTGCCAAGCAGATTCATGAGCCTTGTGGCCTGCTGAAATTCCGGGATTTCAACCAATACTTTAGAGAAAACACTATGTTTTTGGGTGAGAGCAAAAATGGATCGAGCAACAGAGAGAGAGAGAGAACGAGAACGAGAACGAGAAAGAGAAAGAGGAGAAAAAGCATACGCGGGAGGCAAGCTTAAAAGAAATCGGACTTGCAACAGCTCTGACTGTGACTTGTGGGGGCAAAATAACTATAAGGTTGTTGCTGCCAGGACATACATTTTTTCCTTCCGATCATTACCATGTTGAAGCTGGTGGGAGTGAAGTTATATATGCACACAAGGTTTTCAGTCTAGAGTGCCCAAGTTTCGGCAGCTAACGCCAACGCCAGAGGAATCTGTCAGGTTCAATGAGTCTTTAAAGTCAAAACTCCTTCAGTTGGCGCCAAATTCCATTAGCACAGGGAGCGAAATCTCCAGGTGTATCATTGAAGCTGCAAGCCAAACGCTAGCAAAGATTGACCCCAAGCAAAAAACGACGGACCGTTACAAAAGATTACCGCCAGACAGCAGGCACATGAAAATGCGAACCTTCGATCGAGCAAAGGTCTTTCGCACCAAATCTAATACCCTGCAGGAAGGGACATTTGTGTTACCATTCTTGAATCTATAAGAGAAGTACCTATCAAAGAGAACAATGGACAGGTATAACTGAAGAATATGAAGAAAGAAAGAATCTAGGAATCTAGGGCTGAAGCAATCACCACTTATCTTCAGGACAAACATTGGACCAATGAAAACAACGTCCCAGTTGAGCATACAGACACGGTTCAAGATCTCAGACTTTTGCTTGACGTTGATTGAGAGTGTGCCGTTCAAGATATTGAGTTCAATGCTGCTTTGGTTTCTACAAAAACGAATACAAGGACCATGTTGCAATGGAGCTATTTCTCTTGGATGAACCTCGACAACCGAAGGCGGTTCCTGAGTATGTTAAACTCTTCTTGGAGCAATCAAGCCGCCCCTGACGACATTTTTTTCGCTTGGACGGTGCCTGTTACAAGAAAGCGAACACGGACGAACCCTCCAATTACGGACCGATATTCTTGTTGAACTCCACAGCGACTGCAGGTGGTACTGGAGAACACCATAACTCAAACGCAATATGGCCAAAGAGCTTTGAAGCGGAGGTGAGATGTCCAGCAAAGGGCTAGGTGACCCAGTGGTCACATGACAACTAATGACATGGTGAAGCATTGGACTGTGCAACCAGAGTCAATGGCTGAAGAAAACTGCCAGAGCATGTTGTGGAGAGAACAGGACAACAGCACTTCTATCTAGAGTGCTGCTGACAGGACTGATCCATCTAGCATCGTTTCGAATCGTGAAGAGACTGGATGAGACAGTTATTCATGTAAGCCGCGAATTGGCTCTATGGAACTGCTGCAGAGATCCCACAATTGCCAGATATTGCCAGCATTGCTCATGCAATGCTTTCAATTGTTTTCATGCCAGTTGCTCAGATCTTAAGCCAGTTTTGGAAGGAACACGGCTATGGGTCACGAATCTTGCCCATCAATCACCATTACCATCCATTTTCCAATTGCACTTTAATTGTATAATGGCCTTTGCGTTGCAAAATCAAGAATCAAACTCTAGACACACCAACAAGAGAATCAACATAGAGGGCACCAAGGCTGCCAAAGCTTGTGAACATGATGTAGCATTTGAAGATCATGTTGAACCTCCCAGCCTTCTTGGCCTTCTTAGCGGAATTGAAACAGAGTGCTTTGATACTTGGCCCGGTGGTGGGCAACCTCGTGTGGCACCATGCGGGGTGGGCGAATGGCCATGGGCAGGAGAGGTGGTGTCAAAGTTTAGTTGCGTAGTCATCTCAGGCGTTATATCAGTTTATTATAGTTTACAAGTAGTTCCCGGGCAAGCCGGCGGCGCGGAAGTTTCCTATAAGAACAAATTGACCTATAGCCTATAGGAGTGTCCCGGTTCTTTCCACCATGCGTGTCCCTCGTGCCCCTCAGTCAGACGCACGCATGCTCCGGACTTTTGACCAACACAGCGCCACCTGTGCAAGGTCTGTGCTCCCTGATGTACTAAAGTTGTACTACAAAGTCGCGTACTAAAGTTGTACTACTACAAAGTCGCCAGTTCTCAGCTTCCAGCTCCGCAGATACTCCGCGCACTAAAGTTGTATTACAAAGTCGCCAGTTCTCAGCTTCCAGCTCCACAGATTGCTCTGCGCACTAAAGTTGTACTATAAAGTCGCCAGTTCTCAGCTTCCAGCTCCGCAGATACTCCGCGTACTGGCAAAGTCGCCAGCTCTCAGCTTCCAGCTCCACAGATACTCCGCGTACTGAAGTTGTACTACAAAGTCGCCAGCTCTCAGCTTCCAGCTCCACAGATTGCTCCGCGTGCTAAAGTTGTACTAGAAAGTCGCCAGTTCTCATCTTCCAGCTCCCCAGATACTCCGCGTACTAAAGTTGTACTACAAAGTCGCCAGTTCTCAGATTCCAGCTCCCCAGATTGCTCCGAGTACTAAAGTTGTACTACAAAGTCGTCAGTTCTCAGCTTCCAGCTCCACAGGTTGCTCCGCGTACTAAATTGTACTAGAAAGTCGCCAGTTCTCATCTTCAGATACTCCGCGTACGAAAGTTGTACTACAAAGTCGCCAGTTCTCAGCTTCCAGCTCCACAGATTGCTCAAAGTCGCCAGTTCTCATCTTCCAGCTCCGCAGATACTCCGCGGTGCTGTGCCTGCCACGAAATCTGCACATGGAGGTTCACAAAGTGCTGTGCTTGCCACGAAATTTGCACATGGAGGTTCACAAAGTGCCAAGCCTGCGACGAAATCTGCACTGAGGTTCACAAAGTGCTGCGCCTACCACGAAATCTGCACATGGAGGTTGACAAAGTACTGCACCTGCCACGACATCTGCGCATGCAGGTTCACAAAGTGCTGCGCCTGCCACGAAATCTGCACATGGAGGCTCACAAAGCGCTGCGCCTGCCACGAAATCTGCACATCGAGGTTCACAAAGTGATGTGCTTGCCACGAAATCTGCACATGGAGGTTCACAAAGTGCTGTGCTTGCCACGAAATCTGCACAGACATGAAGGTTCACAAAGTGCTGCGCCTGCGACGAAATCTGCACTGAGGTTCACGAAGTGCTGCGCCTGCCACGAAATCTGCGCATGGAGGTTGACAAAGTACTGCGCCTGCCACGACATCTGCACATGGAGGTTCACAAAGTGCTGCGCCTGCCACGAAATCTGCTCATGGAGGTTCAGAAAGTGCTGCGCCTGCCACGAAATCTGCGCTGCGCTTGCCACGCAATCTGCACATCGAGGTTCACAAAGTGCTGGGCCTGCCACGACATCTGCAGATGGAGGTTCGCAAAGTGCTGTACCTGCCACGAAATCTGCACTTTGAGGTTCGCAAAGCGCTGCGCCTGCCACGAAATCTGCACATGCAGGTTCACAAAGTGCTGCGCCTGCCACGAAATCTGCACTTTGAGGTTCACAAAGCGCTGGCCTGCCACGGAATCTGCACATCGAGGTTCACAAAGTGCTGCGCCTGCCACGAAATCGGCGCTTCAAGAAACAAGTGAAAACTCTAACCGCAATGGAGGGACGATTCTGAGCATGATCGACCATGGCGCGAGACCATCCGGAAACCATCGTTCCGCGGAGCTTCGGCGTCGAGGTTCGGAGAAGCATGGAGGTTCACAAAGTGCTGTGCCTGCCACAAAATCTGCACATGGAGGTTCACAAAGTCCGCCTTCCACGCAATCTGCGCATGGAGGTTCACAAAGTGCTGCGCCTGCCCTGCCACGACATCTGCAGATGGAGGTTCACAAAGTGCTGGGCCTGCCACGAAATCTGCACTTTGAGGTTCACAAAGTGCTGCGCTTGCCAGGAAATCTGCACATCGAGGTCAAAGTGCTGTGCCTGCACATGGAGGTTCGCAAAGTGCTGTGCCTGCCACGAAATCTGCACATTGAGCTAGAGCAATTGAAACTAGAGCTAACTGGAGCTAGAGCTATTGAAACTAGAGCTACTTGGAGCTAGAGCTATTGAAACTAGAGCTAACTGGAGCTAGAGCCATTGAAACTAGAGCTACTTGGAGCTAGAGCTATTGAAACTGGAGCTGACTGGAGATAGAGCTCTTGAAACTAGAGCTACCTGGAGCTAGAGCTATTGAAACTAGAGCTAACTGGAGCTAGAGCTCTTGAAACTAGAGCTACCTGGAGCTAGAGCTCTTGAAACTAGAGCTAACTGGAGCTAGAGCTCTTGAAACTAGAGCCAACTGGATGATGAGTGGTGCATGACAAGTGGTGTATGATGTGTGGTGTATGATATGTGGTGTAAGATAAGTGGTGTATGATGAGTGGTGTATGATGAGTGGTGTATGACAAGTGGTGTATGATGAGTGGTGTATGATGAGTGGTGTATGATAAACGGTGTATGCTGAGTGGTGTATGATGAGTGGTGTATGATAAGTGGTGAATGGTAAGTGGTGTATGATAAGTGGTGTATGATGAGTGGTGTATGATGAGTGGTGTATGATAAGTGG